CCCTAATCTTTTACTGAAAGACCTGGGACAAATCAGGTAATGCCTCCTAAGTCAAGTGAAACTTATAATGACATTCTCCTACCTATCTGCCTCTAGTTTAATTTCTAGCAACTTTCTACCCAGCTCACAATGTAATAAGAGTTTCTTTTAGATCCTCAAAGTATATTTCATTTTACACTTCATGTTTATTTGTACACAAAGGCATCAATAGTCCCTTGTTATTCTGTTTTTAGGAGTTGTTTATCAACTTTTTTACAAATATGGAGAAATAAAGTAGTCCGGAGTTTAATGAACTTTCAGATGTCAACCACTCATTTTCTTCCCCACGTTGTAATTCTCTGCCCCCAACCCCATATTTCATGTAAAGGAGTTTCCTTTTCTGCCTATGAGCTGATATGCCCTAATTCTACTTACGATGGCGGGGAGTAAAGACTACCAGAAACTGTCCCTCGGACAATTGTCCAGAGGGCTTTACCACAAATCATCTTAGTTTTCTAAACATTCTTTGATGTAATTTGAGACATGAAGAAAAGATACAAGAAAAATATAAAGAATTCCTGCATACTTTTCACTCAGATTCTCTGCCACGTTTCATCATCCTCTCTCTATGTATGTACACACACTATTTCTTTCTCTATGCTGTTTGCAAGTAAGTTGCAGACACGATATCCTTAACACTTTAGTGTCCTAAAATCGCAGGGTCCAAAAACAGGAATATATATTCTCTTATATAACTGCAGCACAATTATCAAAATCAGGCAATTAGCATCAATACAGTAGTCTTAGCTAATCCACACTAGCTAGGATTTCTCTGGTTGTCGAAGTAATATCCTTTATAGTAAAATAAAAACCTGGGTCTCAGACTGGCTAGAGTTGTCATGTCATGTTTGCTTTGATCTTAATAGTAGGTCAGTCATTATTTATCTTCTATATGACCTTGATGTTTCTGATTATTACAAGCCAATTATATGTAGAATGTTTGTTAGTTTGGGTTTTTCTGATGTTTCCTCATGATTAGATTCAGGATATACTTGTTTGGCAGGAATTTCCCTGAAGCGATGTTATTTTCTTCTCCATGTATCCTATCAGGAAATGCTTGATGTTAATTTCTCCCATTACTGACGATATTAACTTTGGTCACTTGGTCAAGGTGATGACTACCAGATTTCTAAAATAACTACTTTTCCCTTTACAATTAATGCCTCCAAAGAGATACTTTAAAGTTATATAAATATCATATTATATATCAAACTTTCATCCACTAGTTTTGTCATCCTCTGATGATTTGATCCTAAATTATTACCATGATAATTTCCAAATGGTAATTTCTAATTCTGCCATTTCTTCAGCATGTACCGATTGGCATTCTACTGTAAGGAGGTTTTCCTTCTTGCTCAAATACTTATTTAAGTTTGTACTAATTGATTCTCCTTTTATTCAGTGAGTTATAATCTGTTTCTATCTTCTTTTATTTTGATACTCAAATCATCCCAGATTTGGGGCAACTGGAAGTCTCTTAAAGCAGATTTTGGTGTCCTTTTCATGTCTTTTTCTTCCTCTGCCTTTGAGTACTTTCTTAATCTCTGGCTCAAGCAATTTCTGGGCGTGGAAATTTCTTAGGCCAGGTGTGGTGGCTCGTGCCTGTAATCCCAGCACTTTGGGAGGCTGAAGCAGGTGGATCACCTGATATCAGAAGTTCGAGATCAGGCTGGCCAACAGGGTAAAACCCTGTCTCTACCAAAAATACAAAAAATTACCTGGGTGTGGTGGTACACACCTGTAATCCCAACTACTTGGGAGGCTGAGGCAGGAAAATTGCTTGAACCTGGGAAGCAAAGATTGCAGTGAGCTGAGATCGTGCCATTGCACTGCAATCTGGGCAACAGAGCAAGACTTTGTAGAAAGAAAGAAGGAAGGAAAGAAAGAAAAAGAAAGAAAAGAAAGAAAGAAAGAAAGAAAGAAAGAAAGAAAGAAAGAAAGAAAGAAAGAAAGAAAGAAAAAGAAGGAAGGAAGGAAGGAAGGAAGGAAGGAAGGAAGGAAGGAAGGAAGGAAGGAAGGAAGGAAGGAAGGGAAGGAAGGGAAGGAAGGGAAGGAAGGAAGGAAGGAAAGAAGGAAGGAAGGAAGGAAGGAAGGAAGGAAGGAAGGAAGGAAGGAAGGAAGGAAGGAAGGAAGGAAAGAAGGAAAAAGAAAGAAGAGAGAGAGAGGAAGGAAGGAAGAAGGAAGAAGGAAGGAAGGAAGGAAGGAAGGAAGGAAGGAAGGAAGGAAGGAAGGAAAAAGAAAAGAAAGAAATTTCCAGTCTTATCTTGTACTTTTCCTGACCCAGCCCTGGAACCAGTCATTTCTCAATAAGGCCCGTTTCCTTTTAGGGGAAAATAGTATTTAGGAACCAAAATCTGAATATTATTAGACATGCTCAAAATTCAATCTAACACTCCAAGATTCATTCTAGCTTTCCCATGTTCCATATTTGTATCTACTTTTCTCTAGCAGTGAGAAACCTGGTTCTAAGAAGAAAGAAAAAAAAAGAAAGGAAAGAAAAATAAAAAGAAACCTGGTTCTGTTATTCAAAATATATTTACTCATTTTCTTAAAACAAGAATATCCAGAAAGTAGTTTCAGAGTTTTAAAAATATTAAAAATAGAACTATTATGTGATCCTGCCATCCCACTTCTGGGTATATATCCAAAGGATATGAAATCAGTATGTTGAAGAGACATCTTCCCTCCCTTGATCATTGCAGCATCATTCACAATAGCCAACAAATAAAGAAAATGTAGATTTTAAAATGTGGATAAAGAAAGTCATATACATAACGTGTATATACAGTATATATACACACACACAGAGGAATACAATTTAACCTTAAAAAAGAAGGAAATACTGTCCTTTGCTATGACATGAATGAACCTGGAGGACATTTTGCTAAGTGAATTAAACCAGGCACAGAAAGACTCTATGATCTCTTATGTGAAATCTAAAAAAGTCAAAATCATAGAAGCAGAGAATAGAATGGTAGCTGCCTGGGGCTGAGGGTTGGGGGAAAATCAGGAGATGTTGGTTAAAAAGTACAACATTTGGCCGCGCGCGGTGGCTCACGTATGTAATCCCAGAACTTTGGGAGGCCAAGGCAGGTGGATCACTTGAGGTCAGGAGTTCAAGACCAACCTGATCAACATAGTGAAATCCCGTCTCTACTAAATACATAAAAATTAGCCGAGCATGGTGGTTCATGCCTGTAATCCCAGCTACTTGGGACGCTGAGGCAGAAGAATTGCTTAAACCGGGGAGGCGGAGGTTGCAGTGAGTTGAGATCGTACCATTGTACTCCAGCCTGGGCAACAGAAGCGAAACTCGGCCTCAAAAAAAGTAAAAAAAAAATATAGAGTACAGCCTTTCAGTTAGGATGAATAAGTTCTGGAGATCTGTTACCCAGTATAGTGACTATAGTTAATAATAATGTGTTACACACATGAAAATTTTGAATAGATTAGATCTTAAATTTTCTCATCTCAAAAAAATTATGTAAGGTGATGGATACGTTAAATAGCTTTATTTGACAATGTGTGTGTGTGTGTGTGTGTGTATATATGTAAACAACACACAGCAAACCATAAATATATTTAATTTTTGTCAATTACGCTTTACACCTTAAAAAAGTTGAGAAAACATTCTTTTTTAAAAAGTTGTGGATTAAAGTAGTGATAGATGGTTTTCACTTATTTCCCATCAAAAGTTTATTTGACCATTCTCCTTTCACAGGCACCATTTTGGCTCTGCCCTACTCAGATATAATAAGATTAATCACACTTAAGAGAATGCCTTTCAGGAGTTCAGAAATTTAAGGCTAGTAGGGGGGAATTTTTTTTTTTTTTTCTTTTTTTTTTTTTGAGATGGAATCTTGTTGTGTCGCCAAGACTGGAGTGCAATGGTGCGATCTCAGCTCACTGCAACCTGCGCCTCCCAGGTTCCAGTGATTCTCCTGTCTCAGCCTCCCACGTAGCTGGGACTATAGGCGTGTGCCAACATGCTGGCTAATTTTTGTATTTTTAGTAGAGATAGGATTTCACCATGTTGGCCAGGCTGGTCTCAAACTCCTGACCTCAAGTGATCCACCTGCTTCGGCCTCCCAAAGTGCTGAAATTACAGGCATCTGCCACCTTGCCCAGCCAGGGGAGGATTTTTTAATGCTACACAGACCCCAAATTTATTTCTCTGCCTTTGTTCTTGCTCTCTCCAACATTTATTTTAAAATCACAAATTTGATTTAAGGTTTTCTTGCTTAAAAGCCTTTAAAATTCCCCATTATCTCATCATTTCATATTCCTTAGTATGGAATATAAATTCTTTCACAATCAGGAACTTGTTTCATTCCCTCTAGGCATTCCCTGTTTCTTTCCTGCCCACATCCCCCATATTCCAAAACCCACCATTCTGCCACAACTCAGCTCTGAGGTCGTAACCTCTTCATGAAAGCCTTTTTTGAATCCCAAGTCTCAGTTAGATGACCCTCTCTGATTTCCCTTAGCACTTCTTATTTTCCCTACTATAGCACTTTCGGCATTACTGTGATTTGTCTGTTATAATCTGAAGTCAGGCTTTGAATGCAGATTCAAATTATTTGCTGTGTGACATAACATTTCTGTACCTCAGTTTCCTCATCTGCAATGTAAAGAAAATCACAAGATCTACCTCATAGGTTTGTTGTGAGGATAAAATGAATTGATATGTAGAACAGGCTTAGAATGGCACCAGGCAAGCACTCTAAAGTGTTCGCTACTCACAGCAGTATTTATATATCCTTATGCCACATTCCTACATAGGTGCTCTCAGTTTTTTTGTTTGTCTCCATCGTAGCAGCCTGTGAGCTGTGTAGAGCCTGTGACCATGTCCTGTTTTTCCTTCTATTCCTCTCTCCAAGTACAGCCCAGAGTACCAGGGTACATGGTAGAAGTTCACAAAAGGTTTATTAAGTTAATGTAAACACAACCCTGATTTAATTTTTGAAGGAAAATTTGTATTATTTTAATTATTTTTATGTACAGAAAATTTAACAGTGTACATTTAACCCAGCTTAGTGGCAAGTTCTTTAGCCTTTGCCTTTTCAAGCTTGCCGATGCAAGCCACAGACTTGGGACCCAGGACATTGCCTCCCCAGTGACGGCAGATCTCATTGTATCTGTCATTGTAATCCGTCCTCATAGCTTCCAGTAGCTTAGCCAAAGCGTCTTTGTCTTCGAGTTAACCTGTGTGAAGGCGACAGTGGAGCAGGTCTTCCTGTGAACTAGACGGCCCAGTCTTGCCTTCCCCTTGATAATGCAGTAAGGGACCCCCATTTTACCACACAGGCCAGGCAAGAAGACAACCAGCTCGATGGGATCCACATTGTGTGCAATCACCACCAGCTGAGCCTTCTTGTTCTCTACCAAGGTGGTGACGGTGTTAACTCCAGCTCGAAGGACAGGTAGTCTCTTAGTGGGGATGTCCCCTTTTCCAGCAGTTTTCTTTTTGGCCAGGGCCACCACCCTCTGTTTCTTCTCTTGCTTTGTCTCTGATCTGTACTTGTGGGCCAGTTGAAGTAGCTGAGTAGCTGTTTGGCGGTCCAGGGCCTGAGTGAACTGGTTAATTGCAAGAGGCACTTTCAGCCCCTTATAGAGGATGGCTCTCCACCGCCGCAACCTGATAGAGCAGGGCCATTTCATAAAGCCGGTGAGGTCTCTTTTGGGCTGAATGCCCTATCCAATGTCAAAATTCTTAGGCCGTTTCTCAAACAGGGGATTCACCACTTTCTTAACCTCCTGCTTCTTCATGATAGCAGGGCTGGAGCCACCTTCTTCCCCTTGGCCTTCTTTCCTTTTGGCAGGAGGAGAGAGCCCGATTTATTTTTAAAGATGATAAAATGTTGACAAGATTTGAAGTTGTGTTTTTTTTTAAAAAAAAAAAAAAAAAGAAAGAAAGAGAGAAAACCTTTATGTAGTATATATACACAATGGAATACTATTTATCCACAGAAAAATGGAATCCTGTCATTGGCAGTAACATGGATAGAACTGGAGGACATTATGTCAAGTGAAATAAGTCAGGAACAGAAAGTTAAACACAGAATGTTCTCACTCATATGTAGAAGCTAAAAAAAAAAGTTGATCTTATAGAAGTAAAAAGTAGAGCAGGGTATACTAGAGGCTTGGAAGGGTAGAGGGAAGAGGAAAATAGGGAGAGATTTGTTAAAGAATACAAAATTACAACTACATAGGAATAAATTATAGTGTTCTGTAGCACTGTAAGATGCCTGTAGTTAACAATAATATTCAGTTTCAAATTGCCAGAGGGAGGATATTGAATGTACACAACATAAAGAAGTGATAAATGCTTGAGATGATGGATACGCTACTCTGATCTAATTGTTATATGTATCACATCACTATGTACTCCATAATATGTGCAATTATTATGTGTCAATTTGAAAAGTTTAAACAAATGAAAATATTGAAAGAAAAACTTTAAAACTGAGAAATGTGAGCCATACTAGATAACCTTCAGTGACTGGTTTTTTAATCTACATAATAGATTCAAAACAAAATGCTTCATGAGCCCCTCCCTGGATTACAATTAACGGCAGTGTGAAAAAAAGATGATGTGATTAATCAGAGATAATGTAATCAACCAGGGAAGAAAAGGTGTGGCCCCCCTCTCTTTCTGGAGTATAAAAGGAGTTGCAAGAGGCTTGGGTCACCATTTGGTGAGCTGAGGGTGAAGCTACAAAGGTTGAAGCGTTCTTCAGACGACTCTACCCGAGGGTGAAGCTACAAAGGTTGAAGCGTTCTTCAGACGACTCTGCCTGAAGAAAGAACAGTGCTACATAGAGGGGTGAGTAGACCACACGAGCTTTCATGACAACGGGCCTGTAAGAGCTCCTTGAGCCTTGGCTGGAGTGCATATGTGAATAGGAGGTTTGTTTTTAAACATTTCCATAGTGATACTGGGTTTTGGTTTGTTTGTTTGTTTATTTGTTTGTTTGTTTGTTTTTGAATTGAGACGGGTTCTCCCTCTGTTGCCCAAGCTGGAGTGCAGTGGCATGATCTCAGCTCACTGTAGGCTTCACCTGCTGGGTTCAAGCAATTCTCCCTGCCCCAGCCTCTGAGTAGCTGGGATTACAGGCACCTGCCACCATGCCCATCTAATTTTTGTCTTTTTAGTAAAGACAGGGATTTCACCATGTTGGCCGGGCCAGTCTCAAACTCCTGACCTCAGGTGATCTGCCTGCCTCGGCCTCCCAAAGTGTTTGGATTACATACGTAAGTCACTGTGCCCAGTCCCATACTTTTTTTTAAATAACCTTTATTTTTGCTTTGAGAATCTAATCGTACATGCTTGACCATAATTACCTGGACCTTTTGGAAACTGTTGATAGATTTTTTTATTTATGAAAGTATTACAAGCCACTGTGGGTAATTTGCTGTTGTTGTTTGGAGATGAAGTCTCCCTCTGTTGCCCAGGCTGGAGTACAGTGGCTCAATCTCTGCTCGCTGCAACCTCTGCTTTCCAGGTTCAAGTGATTCTCCTGCCTCAGGTTCCCAAGTAGCTGGGACTACAGGCGTGCACCACCACGCCTGGCTAGTTTTGTATTTTTAGTGGAGACAAAGTTTCACCATGTTGGCCAGGCTGGTCTCGAATTCCTGACCTCAGGTGATCCCCCTGTCTGGGCCTCTTAAAGTGCTGGGATTACAGGCATGAGCCACTGCACCCAGCCGCTGTGAGTAATTTGGACAACAACAACAAAAATAGAAAATAGAAAATAAAACATCCACAATTCATACTGATTTCACAAATAGTCACTATACGCATTTTCACATATTTCTTTCCATTCTTTTTTTCCATGTACAAATATTTTGTCTCAAAACTAGGATTCTATCATATTAAGTTCATTATTTTTAACATTGTTTTATGATCATAACCTTTTTTAAATGAATATTCTTGGGAACTATGATGTAGGTAGTTGCACAAGAGTCTTCATACAGATGTACCAGAACTGTATTTAACTTGTCACCAAAATTGCAAAGTAGTAGAGAGAATGTATATCTGTGTATGTCGATTGTATTCAAACAATTTTTTTTCCTCCAAAGTATACTATTCAACTTTGAACTACAAATTTTGCGTCATCAAATAAGTCCTCAGTAATCGTGTGATACAGCTTAGTCTAATGTAATCTGTTGATGTCAAAGCTCTGCTTTTAATACAAGGCTGAAATTTTGTACCCGAAACCATGCTTCAGGGCCATAAAGTAACAGGATGCTGTTGGCAACTCGGGTTCAGGTAGAATCTCCTGTGGTCACTGAATGATTTTCACACACAATTTTGGTCTCCATGACTGTATGTTTCAGTAGTGAAAGCCAAAGGTCAATGTGCTTCCTCCTTATAAATAACCAGTTACATGGGTGGCCTAAAAATAAAGTTCTTCTTGGCCAAGACAGGTTAATGAAAGCCAGTTTGGTATCCTGTCATGCAGTATAGCTATTTTAGTGTCTCAGTGTTGCTAAATTTGTCAGCTTCCCCTGGACATTAGCACATATTTAGATCTTGATGTTCTAACTAATTAATGACAGCTAAGGAATGTGTACGTTCCCGGTAAAGAGTTTATTGTATTATCACTGATTAGGTTGGGGGAGTTGGAATTTAGTATCTGTGTACAGGAGCAGGAAAGGTAAATTATGATTTAAAATTCACCGGATTGTAGGAGAGGAGAAAGGAAGAGGAAATTGTGTCATGAACATAACCAAACTAAACAAAACCATTGCCCAGCCTGGGACTATAATTGTAATGGAGTACAATTAACGTAATTGACTCAGGTTATTCAAAAGGTTATGGCTACAGTTGTTTAAAACAGAAAATACGAAAGAAAAATAGCAGGGCATCAAAGTTAGTGATATCAGTTGGCCTTATTTTAAGAGGCTTATAACCACACCTGAAAATTTCCAATTACCAATCTAGAAATTTCCATAGACATTGACTATATCTGGGGAGGGGAGGAGTAATTCAGTGCTTTAATTTAAATTTTAAAAAATTCAGAAGACTGAAAGCACAAATATTCAAAGTAACAGATGGTAGCCTCCTCTCAGAGGCAATAAAAAGACTTTACAATCCTCACCAGAAGTGTATTTAGTTATAATTTAGTTTTGCAGTTTTTTTTTAAGTATATTCCATTACAGTAGAAATTTTCTCTATTCTTGTCAAGCTTCTGGTCTCTCTTAAACCTCAAAGCATATGAAAAGCATTCTATTCATGTTCTTTTATCATAATACTGGGAGTATCTTGTCCAAAACTTGACCAGAAATTCTTATACACTTTCTTCTAGACTGAAGTCCCAAATGCTTAGAAGACTGTTTCAAGGGCTTTACCTCCACTGCCACATTACAACCTTCCAGGCCAAATTAGGTATCTCTCCTCAGTCTTCCCATAGCACACAATAAGGAACATCTATTATATAATTTAGGCCGGGTGCGGTGGCTCATGCCTGTAATCCCAGTACTTTGGGAGGCCAAGGTGGGCAGATTACTTGAGGTCAGGAGTTCAAGACCAGCCTGGCCAACATGGTGAAACCCCATCTCTACTAAAAATACAAAAATTAGACAGATGTGGTGGCCTGTAGTCCCAGCTACTGGGGAGGCTGAGGCATGAGAGTAGCTTGAACCGGGGAGGTAGAGGTTGCTGTGAGCTGATATCACACCTAGCCTGGGTGACAGAGTGAAACTCTGTCTCAAAAAAAGGAACAATTTATCAAGCTGTATTGTCACTGTTTACATATGGGTCACTTTTGGGGACAATCTTACTCTTATTTATGTTTGTATATCCACCTCTTAGGCAATGCTGGTGTATAGTAGATTTTCACAGAAATTATATCAGAATCATACAAGGAGACAATTGTGTTTTTAGCGTCAATGCTGGAAGTTCTGAATCACATGGTATGGTTTCTGTTAACATGTGGTTGATATCAGAACATAGCCAAGCAAAGCAGCAATTATTCCATGTATTCCTAGAAGACTCATACGTCCTTTTCTTTTCATCTTTCCACTCCCAAAACAATTGCTGTTCATTTCTGGTAATATAAGAATAGTGCTAATTGACCCATTCTTCTTCAGAGAAGATCTAGTTGACTCAGCAAAGAAAATGGATTCTGTAGATCTTTAGAGGCTGCCCTGAGTAGAGGTACACGACTTTCCAGGGCAAACATTTCCATCATTAGAGGATTGAAACAGATTTTTAGAATGAAACAAGGACCTTTGGAGAGTTCACTGGAAATTAGAATATTTAACCATTCAATATTCTTGTCACAGTCATTAGATTAGATCTAGACTAATAGGAAGGAAAATCCTTGAAATTCCTGACGCCCAAAAAGTATCTCCCTTTCTCCAGTGTCTTCAGTCATCCATTTGTATAAATGACATGAGGCCTGGGTTACCAGAAGTATTACTACTGCCAGTGTAGCTGCTGCTGCTATCATAGTTCTTGGCACCACAAAAAAATCTCTGTGCCTATTGCAGTAGTTATGGAGGATTTTGTCTTCCTGAATGACATATCAACTTTGTATTACCAAAGGCATACATCCACTCTGTCTAGCAATGATGAGCTACCTGACAGCAACAGTACCTGGGAGCTTTTAGGATTCACAGACCCCGCCTTGTGAATCGAAATCATCTCAAGTGCCTCTAAAGGGCTTGGAGGCCACAGCCTCAGAGAAATTTTTATATTAATTAATAGACCCATGGATCCCAATTTTATTAAAGGAACAATGAGTCTGGGAGTTCAGTTTTCAGTTTTTCGTTTTGTTTTCTTTTTGTTTT